AATGAAGCATCCTCAAAGACAAGGGGGGAAAATAATCCCAAGGGAAGAAAGTGACCAACTATGTTAAGGCAGCTCATAAATCAGGTTTAGTGAACACTGATGATTGAGCATTATGTTCAGGAGAAGCTAGCCCACTTGTCCTTTAAAGATCTGCCTATTGACTGCTTCAAAGACCTGCCCGTTTACTTCTTTGTGACTGAGGAGAATGCAAATAGAAACAGGCGGGGATAATGCAGTCCAGTATCCTTGACTGAAGGATGTTCCGTTCCTAACTGGAAGGTAGTACTTCTCCAAAAAGCACATAAGTTGGGTGGTTCCTCCGTGGAGTATAGAAGAAAGCAAAACTTGCACAGCTAGTCAAATCAGGCGAATCAGCCTTAGCGGTCAATGTGCAGAAATATCCCCAGCCAGCCCTTTCAAGTCATGTCTTGCAGTCTAGAAGTCTAGTCACAGCCATGGTATATACTAGACGATAAGCGGAAAGAACCTTCTAAGACTTAAAGAAAATTTGTGATTAAAACGATATAAAGCATTTAAAAACTTCCCAAAATGTGATTAAATTAGACATAAAAATAAGTTTTGAATGATTAAATTAAATTCTCATAGAAACTGCCTCTACAACAGGTTAATTTGGGATTTTAGATTTTTTTGGCATTCCAACATTATACAATACCAAAAACACAAAAAATTTGGTAGAAGTATCACATGGTGGTTTATAGTTCAGGCTTTAGAATGGAAGAGAAATAGATTGAAATCTCACAATTATCACTTATCACCTCTAGGATTGAAGTACTTGGCCTCCTATAGTTATTTCTAAATCTAAAGAATACTGACCTCCTAGGATAGATTTGAGGTAGAAATGAAATATCATATGTATTAACCACTCGGTCACGGAGCCGGCCCCTCAATTTATTTCTTGTTGCTCTTAGAAACAGGATTCTAGTCTGGATGTCTTGAAGTGTTAGTATTTTCTTATGTTGAAATTTCATGTATCTTATCTTTCATAGCAGGAACTGTCAAATTATTTATGTGGTGGCTAAAATCTAGATACAAAACATCTTTAAAATCAGTTACTCCTCATAACAGAAACAAAGTTAATATAAACTATTTTGCTATTTTTCATACTTTGATGATTATATATTTTGTCTTTAAAAATGCACATTTGGTGAAATCTATTTAGATTTACAAATAGCAAAAGAATATTTAGTTGATATACAAACTCAAGGACTGCCAAACAACAACAAATTATGTGAGATTTTCACCATGCTATGGTTTTAGCTGGGTCAAAAATACAATGGTATGAATTCTGCAGGGCCTTATGACGTTATGTTTTGTCTGTTTATGCTATTAAAATCGTCTTAGACTGCAATTCTTAAGGGCAGTATTAAACTCGATTGTAAATTAATGCTAAGCCTGTGCAAGCCAGTTATCTACTTTAATTTCCATCAATGAAGTGTGTTTCCTCTGCTTATAAAACTACGCATACTTGCTACGCTAACGAAATAGGGAGTGTATATAGGCCTTCATGCCTGGATGTAAAAGCCATACAGCCTTGAAAATCTTCTGAAATGGTTCGAAGAATTTGTTTTTCTGCAGGTCAATATATGAACCGATATTTCAATACAAACATCTAGCAAAATACCAATACCGAAAAAAGAATAATAATTTGTTATATAAACCTTATAAATAAGAGTATGCACTTACAGTGTAATTTATTTTTATAATGGTATATTTATATATAGACATCTATTAAAAGTCAAGAATTTATAATGAATCAATAACTTTTCTGTTGAAATTTATCATATATATTATATATTATATGCTATAACTGATTATATAATGTTATTTTATATTAATATATTTATTATTTATTTTTTATTCTTAAATAGTCTAAATTTATACTGATAATGAGCTAAATTAACTTAGAAGTTTTCCTTACATCCCTCTTCAATAGTCTTCATAGTTTGGGAGCCCATCCTGGGTTTACTTTGAAAACCTATCTGTGTGTCTGTGTGTGTATGTGAGAGAGAGAGAAAAGAGAGCAGGCAGCACTTTTTTTGCATACTCATAGTAGTAGTAGAGGTTGATGCAAGAGTTCATACCGATTCTCTTACCCATATATTCTTGGTTAAATTAAGAACACTGTCTTCTGGCTCATTTTGGATTTTTTCTCAGAATTGAAGTCATATGACAGCACAAAAGGACATTCTCAATAGCCACTAAAGTTTTTGTGAAGGGAAAGATTTAGTGTGGTACACAAAATTTTAAAAGGCCCCTGGGATTTCTGCTTCATAGCATACAGGCCCAGTATAATCCCTTTTCCTTTAGTGTAGGTGGGACTTATATGAATATGATGGGCTTCACTCCCATGGGTGGGTCATGCTAGATGTCAAAGGGCAAGGAATTTTCCAGATGTAATTAAGGTCACTAATCCATTGACTTGGAGTTAATCAAAAGAGAGATCACCCTGGGTGTCCCCCAGCTCATCAGGTAGGCTCTTTAAAAGGGATCCTGGAGGTAAGAGGCAATAGGCAGAAGATGATATTCTGCAGACTTTAAAGCCACAAAATGCCATGTTCTGGAGAGGCCCATGTAGAAGGGAAGAGAGGGCAGCAACTAGGAGCTGAGGTCCTCAGACCTACAACTGCAAGAAACTCAGTTCTGCCAGCGACTACTTGGTTTGGAACAGCACCTCAAGCTCCAGGAAGGGATGCAGCATGGCCAACACGTTGATTTTCACCCTTGTGAGATTCTGAGCAGAAGTACCAGTTACTACTGCTGGACTCCTGACCTATGGAAACTAGGAGGATATATGTGCGGTGCTTTAAGCAGCCAAGTTTTTGATGATTTGTTATTGGTTGGTAGACCAATAAGTTCAGTACTGCAACATTTTAGTCAATTGACAAACCAAGCTAATTTTACCCGCTAAAAATTCCTTCAGATTCATTAAAAGAGGAAAATAAAGATCAAGCTCATGGACTGGAAGCCATTTTAAGAACCCATGGTTCTTATATGTGTGAGTCTTATAGTTTCTCTATGGGTTGGTGACAAACAATTACGTATTCTTACAATATTTAATCTAAAGGTTTTATATATTTTATGATTTTATTATATTTTTTACATAAAATTATTAATGTAAAACAAATTATGACAAGCATAATCCCATGAAATATTTGCCAGCTATGACATTGTTTTGATGTTTCATATTTTAGAAAATTGGAGAGAATAATCTTTTTGAAAATATGATCATATCTTTTTTCCTTCTTGGGAACAAATAGCACATGCATTAGCTTAGAGGTCTAAGATTTTTTTGACCACTCAATAAATGTTAACTTCTTTGCTTCATCAGGTGAAAAAAGGTATTTTTTCCAGACTGACTTAATAAAAAGTAGAAAGTTTCTTAAGGAAAGAGTTTAGTTCCCACTATGATAATTTTGGGTCCTACAGTGTTCAGCATACCAAGTATTGCATTTATCTGCGGTACTGCAAAAATAAAGATCATGTGCCAAGTCACATGCCAAGCAGGATAAATTAGAAATTTCTTTCCAAAGAGCTGTGATAAGAAGGATTCTGAGGCTTTGTGTAAGCCTAGACAGATGAAGGGATGTGATGCTTTAGAGCATCTGCCTGGATATATGAGTAAAATATTTGCCATCAATAACCTAATTATTCTTCCCATCTATACTCTGCGTCATAGTTTTCTATTGCTGCATAAAAAATAACCACACATTATCACACTTAATGACTAAAAAGGAGAGATTATTGCAATAAGAATCTACATGCCCCAGGAATTCCGAGCTACCTAAGCATTATAAAAGATCAAAGGAAGTTTGTTTGCTTCTGCTTCTGATTTGTCTCTGTTTTAGTTTTCCTTAGGTTTGCATATCTGTTTAAAGTCATGGTTCTTACGTATTAATGTATACTTATAATGTGTAATAATAATGTATATACATAAATGTATGTTTAAGTATATATAACTTCATGTGTATGCTAAAATGCAGCTGCTGGAGCAACAACTCTAGAGGTCATGAGTTCAGAAGTCGTGTAGTGGAGCCCAGGAAAGTTCAAGTTTAGTGTAATCCAGGAGATTGTGATTCATAACAGACTACCTGTTAACAAGCCAAGGAAAATTTTGGAATACATTTACAGAGTTTACATATTTTTACTTTGGTAATTATTTTTTTGCATTTTATTGCCTTGTTAGTTTATTAGTATATTTATTTGTTACACATCTCTTCCTCTAATCTCCTTGATTTGTGCTTTTAGTCATCTTTAATCTACTTTACTTGGTGTTTACACAATTTTCAGTCATTAATTCTTATTCTCAATCTACAATTCCATTTATTTTTACAGCGGAAATGTTCATGAATTTTAGGACTATTTCCATATATTTAGTTCCATCCAATCCTTTTGTTTTCTTATTTTAACATCTTTTCTCATTGGCTTATACTATTTTATCATCTTATTTTTCAATATAATTTTCCTTATGTCTTTAATAAATTGTTTTTAAATATTAAGCTATATATATATATTTGATCTTTTTTATTTTTTATTTTAATTTTAAAATTGTAATTTATTCCATATCATTATTTTTTTGTTTTTAATATCTAAGTTTCCATTTCTTTCTTATTTTATATCTTCTCTGTATTCCTTTTTTTTCTTTTGTGCCTTTCAATTTTTCCCCCCTTTCATAGTAGCTATCAGTAAGTTTAGCTGTAAAGCTACAGTATATGTGGGAGAAATTTGGAGTCTTGCTACTGCAAATGTTCCTGTAGCTGCTACTCCCTTTTACCCCAATGGATTAATCATATAGATACTAGATACTAGTTTTATTCTCTTGAAGAGTCCAGGTGACTCAGGGGATCGGATCACCAAGTTAACTTATACTCAGCTAGCTACAACATATACTTCCCCGGTTGATTGCTGGAATGGGGTTGCTCCCTGACATTCTACACCATTATTACTTAGACAAGGACCTTCCTTTCTTGGAATATGGGATTTATCACATGAGCTTTGAAGTTTCAGAAAATCATGCCTAAAGGTCAAGAAAAGTGTTGGTAGACACCTGAAGGGAGGGGCCTATCAGGCCACACCCCTGGGAGGAACTTTGAGAAGCCAAATGGTGTGAAATCCAATAGCCATTTATGGAAGGAGGTACGATAGAATCTACGGTCAGGTTCTTGAACTGCTTGCAAAGCAACCTGCTTCTCCTGTAATGCGGTTATTTCTGATTTACCTTGTTTCCTTTCTTTGCAGAGTCACGGGAGAATCTTGCCATCATATTTCTCATGATGGTAGTGACATAGTGTATTTCTCCACACATTTGGATAGTTCCTCTAGGTAGACAAACTTTTTTTTTTTTTTTAAAGATTGGCACCTGGGCTAACAACTGTTGCCAATCTTTTTTTTTCTTTTTCTGCTTTATCTCCCCAAACCCCCCCTGTACACAGTTGTATATCTTAGTTGCAGGTCCTTCTAGTTGTGGGATGTGGGACGCCACCTCAACGTGGCCTGACGAGCAGTGCCATGTCCGCGCCCAGGATCCGAACCCTGGGCCGCTGCAGCGGAGCCCGCGAACTTAACCACTAGGCCACGGAGCCAGCCCTGACAAACATATTTTATTTCTCCTGTTGTAAAAGGAAAAAAGTGTCCCCATGTAACCTCACTTATCCCTGGAGCTACTGCTCTGGCTTTCCTCCCTCCCTTTATAACAAAATCCCTTGAAATTTTGTGTAATCTTACTAGCTGCTATATTTCTAATTTCCTCCAGCTCTTGTGTATTGAACCAACTCAAATCAAGTGTTTGATCCCACCGCTCTGCAGGCACTATTTTGTCAATGTCAACAATGACCTCTAGGTTGCAAAACCCAATGGGCATTTCTCAATTTTCTTACTCGATCTCTCAACAGTATTTGATGCAAGTGATTACCTGTTCCTTTTGGAAACCCCTCCCCTTCCTTTTTAAATTGACTTCCTGGACACTGCAGTCTCTTAGATTTCTTCCCGTCTCTCTTCTTCAGTCTTGTTGGCTGGCACTTCCTCATCTGGCTGACTTGCTAGCTTAGGGTAGGATAACATCAGTCTTTGGATCAAGGCTTTTTTTTCTGTCCAAATTTTCCTCTTTGCTGAATTCATTAAGTGGCATGCTGATGATGAGTCTATATGCTGAGAATAGCCAGGCTTCTCCCTTGAAATCTATTTGTGTATATACACTGCTCATTCAACATCACCTTTTGGATGTCAGATGGGCATCTGAAACTTAACATATCCAAAGGTGATAGTCTGATTTTTATTTCAGTCTTGTTCCTTTACAATATTTCCCTGAGTGTTAAATGACTACTCCTTTTCCCGTTGCTTAGTCCGAAATTTGGGGGGCCATTCTTGATTTCTCTTGTTTTCTCACAGCCTACATATCATCCACCAAAAGATGTCTACATTGTTACCTTAAAAATCTGTCGATTTTGATAGTTACTCACTTTCTCCACTGCTTCCACTTTGGTCCAAACCAGTGTAATCCTGAATGATTGCAATAGCTTTTATCTACTCTTCCTTCTTCCCTACTTTCCCCATTCAGTATATTTTCAATATAGTCCTCAACGTGGTCTTATTAAAATTAGTCACATCTTCTTACTTATTTGCTACATGGCTTCCCATCTCACTCATAATAAAAATGAACATCTTTACAATGGTCTAACAGCTGAATATATTCCGACCTTCTTGTTACTTCTCCTCTCATTTTCTGCTACTCTTCCCTCATCCTTTACAGCTGCCCAGCATGCTCCTGCCTCAAGATCTTTGCTCTTACACTTCCTTCCTCTTTGACTTATTCTTTCCCACATAATCCCCTGGATCATTCTGCTACACAATTCAGATATTCCCTTAAATGCTATCTTTTCAGTGAAGATTCCCCAACTCCCTCTATGGACAGATTGTGTCCCCTCAAAGTTCATTTGTTGAAACCCCAACACCTCAGGAGGTGATATGGTTAAATGAGATCATAAGGGTAGAGACTCAATCTGATAGAACTGATGCCCTTGTAAGAAGAGGTAGAGACACCAGAGGTCTCTCTCTCTCTACCACGTGAGGAACAGCACGAAGGCAGCCATCTGCAAGCCAGGAAGAGAGCCCTCCCCAAATGTGACTATGCTGGTACCCTGATCTCAGACTTCCAGCTCCAAAGCTGTGAGAAAATGAACTTCTGTTGTTTAAGCTGCCCAATCTATGGTACTTTGTTATGGTAGCCTGAGCTAACTAATATACTCTACTACTCTACTTAAAAAGAGAATTTCTTCCATTACCTCCTAACTTCTCTCCTTTATTTTATACTGTAGCATTCTCATAGTCTAATGTACTACATATTTTACTTATTTATTTTATTGTTTGTCTCTGAGTACAATATAATGTAAATGAGAACAAAATTTGTTGTGTGTGGGGTTCTATTCTATCTCCAACATATAGATCCGTACCAGAAAAAGTAGGTACTCAGTAAATATTTGTCAAATAATGAAAGAATAAATGAAAGTAAAAAGTTAATTTTGTTGGGCATATGATCCAATAGAATTAATTTCATTAAACATTTTGCATGTATTAACTCATTTAATTTCCCAATACTCCTCTGAGATGAGTACTACTATTATTCATTACTTTAAGATAGAACGTTGTGCAAAGAGATGTTGAATAACTTGGTCAAAATTACTCACTTGGAGGTACCAGAGCTTATAAAGCCAGCTGCCTTATAAAAATAGTTGTTTACAAGGGTCCATGCTCATACTCACTGTGGGACTAATTCAATTCTCATAAGAATTTTCTCCCAATTTAAAGTATTTCTTGGCTGTTATATTTCTGCTTTTCTGGGCTCAACCAAATGGGCGAGGGCTACCTCTAATTAGACCCATGTAAGATGAACTATATGCCTGAACTCCTATATTCGCTCCCAACCAGGCTCACTAGTAATTTATATTCTTGCTTCGCTTGACTGAGTTCTTGGATCCTCAGATGCTGTTCATCGCTTGACTGAATCTATTTCCCGGTTATTTTCCATAAGACTATTTATTTAATGAATGATTCACTTGGAAATGACACTTCACTGCTGGTGTCCTGACTCATATAGCAGAGACTGGCCTATTTTAAGGAAGCGAGCAGAACTCTTCTAGTGTTAGTCGACCTTGTCCCTGTTTTCCCAAGACCGAGAATGAAACTCTCCATCAGGGCTGGATCCTCTGATAGACGACCCTATTATGTATTAATTCTTTTATTATTTGATTCTGTCTGTTCATTATCATTCTTATGATGAATATTCTTGTTATAAGTTAATAATGATGCTCTATTTTAACTCAGAGTATAGTTGAGATACTCTCTCTTCATGATTGGACTGGCAAACTATGTTTAGTGAAGAGTAAGGCATTTTAAGACAAATTTTCTTTGGAAGATTCTTTCTTTTTAAATCTATCTTAAGTGTGTCAGGGGAGAGTTTCTCCTCTCTTGGACTGTTTGTGCTTGAAAAGCCTCTTTTATTCATGTTCTGCCTCTGAAAATGTGATGGACGGAAAGGTCTTGTCAGAAAAACAAACAAGCACTGAAAATGTTAATTTAGAAACATGAGACAAAAATCAGAAGAGGCAATTAGTATGCTATTCTTTAATCTTACCCTAAAATGTTTTGTTGTTTCAAATCTTGAATAAAATAAAATGAAACCTCTTTTTTTTTGTGAGGACCTGTGTTTGCCTCATAAAGCCATAATAAAGAAAGATTCTGGGACCAACATTCTAGAGCATGAATTTAGTGGATGCCATCGCAGAAATTCAGATTTTCAATGATGCTTATCTTTCTCAGCTTTACAAGCCAAGGTTAACTGTACTTCAAATGTTTTTAGCAGTTCCAGGAAATTCGCTCTCATCTAATGCAATTGACTTGAAAGATAAAAAATTAAATATTTTTTTGGCCTGCACAGCATCTCAAGGACTTTGAATGGTAGGTTTCAAATATCACAATAGTTTATACATTTTATAAACTTTCCTGGTATAATTCTGCCTGATTTAACACTAAAATTGTCAGGATGAATAATGTTAAGTGCTATACCAAAGAAAAATTTCCATGGCCTAACAAAATAAAAGTTTATTTCTCACCCATATCATGGTCCTGTGAAGATTGCTGGAGAACTCCGCTGCATGAAATCAATCAGGGACATTTACTCTTCAACTTTGTGGCTCTTTCTTCTTCAATAAGTGACTCCCAAGGCCATCTTGGGGATGACATTAAGTTAACAGATAGAGGTCAAGAGAATTCATAGAAGATCGCATTAGTCGTTTTTGAAGTTAGGCCTGGAATTTGCAAATATCACTTCTGCCAACATTCCATTGGCCAGAACCCAGTATTATGGCCCCATTTAATAAAAGTAGAGACTGAGAAATATATTTTAGCTCTGTGTCAATGAAAGAAAAGGGAGATAAGCAGAGGGTGGTGAGCACTATTCTTTGCCATAGATAACCCTTCTTTCACCAATTCTTCATTTGTTCTCTTCTCCTCAAATAAAGTATGTTCTCTCCTTCTTCAAAGGAGGCAAACTGTAGACCCATCCAGCTCTTGCATTCCACTCAAACACCAAAAACTCCAGCTGTTGCATTATCATCTACATTAGGGAAAAATCTAGCATTTGTGAACTAATAACAAGTTACCTCTACTGGACCCCAAACCTTTACACACATACACACACATACACACTGTAGACAAGAGTGTGACATTCCAAAACTGGAAGAATGGAAGACAGAGAAGAGTTATTTATCCAAAACTATTGTGAAATCTCACTGGGCAGACAGTGTAAAGGCTCCTATGGAGGTAGAGCCAAAATTCCTTGATTAGTCCCTGATTCTGGTGTCTAGAATTACTTTGTTTTCTTCTAGGTCTCTGATTCTGTTCTCTGGGAGGTTCTCTTGTTCCACCTGACCCTTGGACTCATTTGAAGAGGTTTGGAAGCTTTCCTTGCTTCCAGGACACTAAATTTCAGCATGCTTCCAGTTTGAGTAAATTTGAGGGCCTGAAGATAGTTTAATATCCAGAATAAGCAAATGCTTTCCTAAAAATGTAAAGAATAAATATTAAAAGATGCAATAAAATGTACCTATTTTATGGCCGCACCATACTCAAAATGTAGAATA